TGTGTGTGTGTGTGTGTGTGTGTGTGTGTGTGTGCATCTATCTATCTGTGTGCGCGCGCGCGTCTGTGTAAACCTCCAGATTAACTTCCCGTGTTGTTTATTAATTACTGCATAGCACGCAGCGTTGCGCGAGAAACACGCGCGCAGATATATACACCGGCATAATATACACCATGTAACACGACATACGCCATCGATGCGATAGTAATCAAGCCAATTAATTAACGACGACGACGTCCCATCAACAATCAATAGTACGGCTACGTCAACGGACGCGCAGATGGACGCATAAATTAACCTAATTCGCCACGGAGGCACGCGGGCACGCGCCTCCCTCGGGAGCGAAGGGAGGAGGGGGCGGGGGTCGACGAGCAATAAACGATGTATATCTCCGCTATAAAAAATACCGTTGCAGCACGATGTTCATTTCTGTTTTCGGAAACAGTGCAGCGCGGTGGCGCTATCAACCGGCCCGTATCACGTGATATCGTGCCCCCACGCGGGCCGTAAAGACTGCCGACAGTTCTCGCGCTCGGCGCGGGATTGCTTTTGATTAGGTATGCAGAGATGAATAATGTAGTCGGTCTAGATTACCCGGGGTGTGTCACGCGAAATGACGCACAGATCTTTTCTCGGCGACACGCAGTTTTCTTCTAGGACGCGAAGACCTGGTCGATTCTCGCTGCACCGCACGCAAATGCTGAAGCTGATACTGATGCTGCTGCTGATGGTAATGATGATGCTGATGGTAATGCTGATGCTGATGCTGATGCTGCTGCTGATGATGCTGATGGTAATGATGATGCTGACGCTGATAGTAAAGATGATGCTGCTGTTGATGCTAATGCTAATGGTAAAGATGATGTTGATGCTGATGCTGATGCTGAAGCTAGGGCGTGGACACGAAGCCCTGTGCAGAGCCAGATGCGTAACTAGGAAACTGAGCGCAGCAACAGCTCTCTCTCTCTCTCTCTCNGATGGGAGGGAGAGAGGAAAGCATAAGAGAACAAACCCCATCCCAATATATTTACAAACACTGCTATAGATACGATCACAAGAGGGTGGTTTAGGGTGGTCTATCATTCCCACAACCAAGAAAAACAACTACGTTTTGCGCCGTAGGTCGGTCGTTGTTCTACCGTGAACGTTTAGCAGTAGCGTTGCAAACGCACATAAGAAGGTGGTGTTACATGCAGATCGCCACGTTAGTTCAGGGCCAGGTTACTGGTTGTTACGGTTGGTACACGTCGGTGTGTGTGTGTGTGTGCGTGTGTGTGCGTGTGTGTGTGTGCGTGTGCGTGTGTGTTGTGTGTGTACGTGTGTGTGTGTGTGTGTGTGTGTGTGTGTGTGTGNTCTCTCTCTCTCTCTCGATCTCTGTCGTTCTCTCTCTCTCTCTCTCCCTCGATCTCTGTCGTTCTCTGTCTCTCTCTCTGAGTTTTCACCCGCCCCCTTTATATTTACACAGGCATACGATGTTTTATACTGCTAAACACGCTGTTATTTTTGCTCGAAATTCTCATAAATCGCGACCGCCAGCTTATAGGATGCAAGGTTGTTTTTGAGACATTGTCTAAGTACTAAACTTCGTCCTATAAGCCGTGAAATACGATATAAGCCTATATAGAAATTTAAAATCCGCAAAACTTAATCGGATTAAAATCCGAGAAATAATGGAGCTGAATGGAGCTTAGATGGAAGCTTAATTTACTGAAAGAAAACATTGAATTTCTCTGTTACGCAGCTGATGTGTTTATAAAGGAAGAATCTACTCGGGAACAATAGACGTTTACAATGTTAAAAAGACGTATAAACTTCTTTAACTTTGTAACTTCTATAACTTTGTAGGAAAGATAGCTATAAGTGTTAACCATATATGTTAACCATCATTTTAATCTTGTTAGGATTTCCAAACGCATTTCCATTTAAAACTATTTAAACATAATGACTCTATATACTTACATAATTAACTATCATCCTCAAATCTAGACACTAGACAAACAGTAGAGGAAAAACACAATACAATGGTAACTGATAAATTATTGTAACAAAAATACAGTACATAAATACAACTACGTGAAAAGTCCAAAAATAACTATGTGTATAGAAGGTAGTACTAGATAGAACAGAAACAATAGTCATACACAGGCATGTTACGCTCCAAAAAGTTTTCAAAAAAAAGAGAACATGAAATCTACAGTCCGCACGCCCATTCAACGAAAGGCCACATGAAACGCAACTTGGAACGTAATACTTGCATTGAGAGAATTGAGTTTATAACATAACAGGAGATACGTGTATTGAAATTCATCCTGCACTAAGCCTCAGGGAGTATTAGTTACTTAACAGTAATGCTGTGTCTGAAAACTAGAGACTCAGCATTACAATTTACATTTAAACTGGAAAGATCGAAACTGAAACATTTGGGTAAGATATGGTTTGCCTTTCCGACAACTCCCTGAAAATAAACACATGTCTTCTACACTGAATATCCAGATAATCAAATCATAGTGAACACCTTAAGAATCACATATATTATGCATGTACTTTCCACGTCGCAATGCTTGCAGGAAAGAAATAAGCACGTGTCACTTATGTAGCCTACACTCTTGGGTTCATTATAACACCGGAAACAATCACAAATACTCGCACCTTATTACATTATCACAATCAACGCTTCACGATTGCATGATATTACTGAACCAACAAAGAACAATGGCCAACAATGACAACGCAAACTTATGGAATTCTTAGAATCCACAATATAGAACTAATACTAATATCATGAACACTTTTACTGTATACGGTTATGCAATATTGCATCGATATGTTCATGCAAATATTAGCTAAATTGCTATTAAAATCAACTAATGCGAGTAAGATGGGAAGAAGACCCCCCCCTCACTTCTCCATCCTCTGGACTCACAGCCAGCCACGCATTCAAGAAAGACTTTACACCAATACTGCCTACTATTCTATAGTATTAGTCAACATCATGTCAGCACGCCTATCACACGTAAGTGACTCTATTAAACTGCGCTAAACACATAGAAGGCAGCACTCACGTACCGCTTGAAAGGAGATTCTATTGCCTGTACACAGACAGGCACACTACAGTAACAATTGTAGAGTTGTTGTTAGAGTAGCTTGTACACGGAAGACACCATCACGCCCAGCCATGGAGGAAGATTATAACCGATGGAGATCACGATACACTTGCTCATGACACCCGCTCACACATAGATGGCACCACCGCTCCCAACACTTGTAAGATCCTGCTACACTTGCTCGTACATAAATGGCACCACTACTCAGCAGCCGGCTGAAAGGGGTGATAGGATATGTTTACTAGGCACTTCTAATTTTAACATATATTTTACGATATATTAAAGAATGATGCAAAAACCCTAAAAAGTGCCCTAACCCTAACCCTAACCCTAACCCTGACCCTAATTAAATTTAAAATATATGTTAAAATTAGAAGTGCCTAGTAAACATATCCTATCACCCCTTTCAGCCGGCTGCCACTACTCATAACACTTGTCAGAAAGCTTCACTACATCCGTTCACATGTAGATGGCGCCACTGCTCCCAACACTTGCAAGAATATCCTGCTACACTTGTTCGTACAGATGGCGCCATCGTTCACAACACGGATGGAGCCGCGAGGTCGGTCGTCGCAGGCCCACTAGGTGGCGCCGGCTCGTAGGAAAACACGGTGCGCGGCGCGGCGCCGCCGAGGCGACCCGCCAGCCACGCGTCGTCGACGATCGCGACCTTGATAGCGTCGCAGCGGAACCGTGCGTCGTGATTGGTGTGCACGGCCTTACTGACGCCCTCTAGTAGCACGAGGTCCGCTCCCCGCAACGCCATCGCCGCGACGAGCCGCTCGTCGATCCGGCTGACAAGTGACCATCCGGGAGACAAATGTCAATAAAGGTCGCTTACATTTGTACGTAATAAATATAATAATAATAATGATAATAATAATTATACGTAATAATACGTAATTATGATGAAAATAATGATTTTTAAATGTAATGCGGTAACAACATTTGAAAATCGACACTGAGGGGCGTTGTTTCGCCGTTGCATTTTTTTGTATAGATAAATTAGATAATAGATATTAATTTATAGGATAGTTGACACGATTTATGAGGTGCAATCAAATACCAATGGTGTCAAAAGAAAACCAGATTTTGAGTGGCTGAAACCATTAATCACATGAAGATATATCAATAGAATTGTCAACAGGTGGGATAAAATTTAAAATAAGGGTAAATCATGTAGATTTTGTCGATATCACGTAATAGTAATTTGAGATTATTCCTGATCGGGGACGTGACATCATGACGCTACATTAAAATCTTGAAAATTCCCACTTAAATTGTGTCGAGATTATGTGTTCACCCACAGGTATGTGGTGGTGGGTCTCACGACATTCAATTAAACTACGTCATCACATCCGATGACACTGAAGAACACTGGCTAACGACAACAGAAGATTTCCCATAAAAAGTATCTAAAAATTGTTGAATTAGAAGAATAAGTTACTTGTTGTATAGCATTGTTTTGTACTGTATCACTCAGAAATTTTATTATTTTAACTGTTCAACACTATTGCATCTATCAAATTTTTTTCTGTAGTGTTCAGGACATGTATCCGTATTTGAATTACATGCAATAAAGATTTAAAAATGATAAAATAATAAAGTAAAAACAGCTATCAGCTCACCTGAGATCTAAGCAGGGCGAGTGTTGACCGGACTCCATGACGACCAGCCTGCCGGCAGCGAGGGCGCCACCTATGACGTCGCACATGGCGGCGATGTTGTGAGCGAGAATGAACAGTTCGCTGTACGTGACCTCGTTCATGACGGGTTTCGAGTTAGTGCACAGAATCACCTGTAGAGACAAGGCGTCACGTAAACACAAAACACAAGCCGCAAAACATGTCTTAAACTGTCTATGTCACGCATTTCTAGCACCAGCAAGTAGTATATTTGTGTGTTATATTGTGTATTACATGTGACCTTAAGCTTTAACAATATTAGGCTATTTTTACTGACTAGCTACCTGGGGCCTGGTTGGTAGAAACAAAATTATTCTTAATATCATACTTGACATGAACTTTCCCACATAGACCATTGACAGAAATTAACACGGCAAAGTTTCTCATATGCAGTGTATAGAGGTCTGGCCTATGAGGAAAAATTAATGTTAAGACTAATGTTAAGACCAATTTTGCTTCTGACAGAAGGAAAATTAATGTTAAGACTAATGTTAAAACTAATTTTGCATCTCAAAATGGCTTCCTGGCATTGAATGTGGGAAAAATTTCCTTACATACAGACACAATGAAACCAGCAAGTCTATGAGCTATCGAGTAACACCATCGCCGACAAAACCAAAGACGATCTAAAGAGCATCATCCGAGGATCCTTAAATCTTCTTAGATTTTTCCCCGAGCCGCACGTCAACCTACGTCCGTTCCTCTCCGTAGCAGTTCCCTGGCGAATGGGAAAATTCCCATGATGATGTCGAAACCGCTGCTGTCGACGAAGATCACGGCACATCTGTGCGGCTCTCCCTCCAGTCTCGCTATCCACGCGTCAAGGTCGTCCAGCAGCCATCTTCTTCCTGCAGCACGACGCAACCGTTAAGAAATACAACGCTATACAAAATAGATGTACGGTATGCTGTACGTAATGTATCTACAAAGGCAATGCAGATACGGATACAGCAGTCTTGGAAATAAGTCTCAAATTCCAGCCAGGACTCTCTCTTTCTCTCTCTCTCTCCCGTGTGTACAGTGCACACGCTCCCAGCATCCCGCAGACTCCTTATCCTTCCTACAGGCGCACTCGCTCGCTAGCTAGCTGGCTCTCTCTCTCTCTCTCTCTCTTACTCTCTCTCTCTCTCTCTCTCTCTCTCTCTCTCTCTCTCTTACTCCCTCTCACTCTGCCTTTCTTCCTTCCCCCCTCTCTCTGTTTCACATGCACACACTTGCACTCCGAGCCCCACTTTCTCTCCTTTCCCCCTCCTCTCTCGTTCCCTCCCTCCATCTTCCCACACCCCGGCTGTGTTGGATGAGCTAAAAAACGTTAGATTCTACTACGCTTCACTCATCAGCAGAAATGACACCGACCTCTCAGCAACGAGATTGTCTCCTCGACCGACGCGTTGTTTGTCAGACGACAGGAATGCTCCCTAGCGTCCGCGCGGCGGCTTGTTCCGGCCAGCAAACCTTGCACCACGATACGCTGTCTCTCCGGCCACTCCTCAGCATCTATAGACGCGAGGTGCGACGGTAGGAACTGCAAAACTTCCTCATCATCCTTGATTCTTTGCTGCAAGAACGTAAGCGTAGAATGAATGGTGAGATACAGTGTAAAGACGGATTAGAAACTATGGAGTTGACCCCCAATAGATGCAACAAGGGTTCTTCGTTGCCTGCTACGGACATCATTATTTTAACTCGACCTAGAATTATCTTAAAACTACGCGACGATTCAATGACAAAATAACATGAATTTTTGAATTTTGGAACGTTATTTATCGCTTTACATGTGACTTAGATTAAGTGTGAAGTGCTTTTCACCTGTAAATATGGGTCGGAAAACTGGAATTCATCTAGATATTGCTGTCTCGTGTCTAGTAAGGTCCTCACTGTGAGTGAACCAAATGTACTGAAAACATGAATGGCATAATTAGGCTAGACACCGTGAGCTGTATTAAAAGAGAAAATATAAAAACAAGTGCCGCAGAGCGACAGCGCTCAACTGACGTGTACTGTAGCCGGGTATTCTTCTGATAAACTCACTGGCAACCGAATCAAGTGCGCCCTCCCGCCACCGCGTTCACGCTCAGAGCATATATGTAGGATACTACTAATACAGATCTAAAATCTTTGATAGCTAGGCTTTGCTATACCGGTAGTACAGTAATAAAGATACAGCTGTGTAACTTTAATGACTTCGCTATATTAACATGTTATCATGGATATGCGTCGAGCGCGAGCGTAGTGGTGGTGGTGGGGGGGAGAGTGGTGAGAGGGGCGGGTGGAGGGGGCTCTAATAGCAAAAGCAATTGCCGCGAGATGGGGGCGTGCAAGTGTCATCAGATACCAAAGATGGCATCACCATGTCGTGCGTGATAACCTCACCTCCATTGCAGTTCTGAAATCCAAGTATAATCAGACCCAGGCGAGAATTTCCCAGACTTGCTGAGTTAAAACACATTCTGCATGCAGGTTCCAGCAATAATTAGATTAAATAGTGCCAGTGTCACGCCCCATCAGAGCGATAGCGACTACATCTATTTAAGCAATCTGTAGTTCTGGCCAATCAATTAGTAGTTCGAGGGGGGGTTTATTAATTTTAACACACACACACATCACACCACGTTCTAAATTGTAGAGCATGACGCGCGCACCGCGCACACATGCACAGCGCGCGCACGGCACACATGCAAGACCACGCCCGGCAGGCACACCGGCACACACGAGTCACGCACCACGCACGCAAGCACGCCGCGCAGGCAGGCAACCGGCACACACAGGCACGCACGCGACCGCCCGCAGCACACCCGGCACAAGCCCAGCAGACCACCCCACTGCGCACCAGACTGCAGCACCGCCCGCAGGCACAGCCGGCACACACAGGTCACGCAACGCACCGCACAGCAAGCACGCCGCGAGGCCACATGCGCGGCAGCATGCACAGGCACGCACAGCACGCACGCACCGCAGCGCACGCACAGCACGCAGCAAGCAACTAGCCCGCAGGCACACCCTGGCGGCAGCACACCAGGCCGCACGCCGCACGCCGGCGCGCGGACCGCAGGATTGAATGCAATACAGTACCAGTACAGCACATGCATGCTTAAGACTGTACAACACTTGACAGTCACACCGTACCCGAATGAAGTTCTATCCCGCCGCGCCGCTGGACCAGACTGCCGCTAGCGGCAGAGCACTAGGCAATGACGCACGGCAGCAACGCCGAGCGATGAGCGCAAGCACGTGGACTGACTGGACAATCGATTCCAGAGGGACCTTTGTTCTGTTTGGCGACGCTCCGCGCGGATATCGATGGCTTTTCGGGGGCCCTTTTCTGCATTCGGGGGCGAAATTCCAGCCTGCCAGGCGCGTGTATTTTTTTCCCTCGCATATTATAGACCTGATGGGCCAAAAAAAATTTCGCGATCAACAGTTAGTGTCAAATTCGTAGTTCGGATCAAACTGGTCGTAGTGGTGGGCAGAAGGAATAGGAAATTCGTATAAATACGGGATAAATCGTAGTGGTTGGCATCTCTGCGCCCTTGCATGGCATAATGGGCCTGCCCACATCGTTTGCGCTACCGCACGCGAGCACTCTCAGGGGTTCATTACAGTTCTGCAAACAGGGTGCTACTCATGGGGCTGCAGTACAGATGCTGTTAGAAATAATATGATTTAAGGAGGTGTAACCTTTGTTCAACAAACATTTGCCTTTGGGCAAGTTGACTGTGGGCAACTGTAGCGCTCAACATCCACAAATAGCAAAAGCAGTCCTCAGGTCCCTTTGTGTACCAGTGCAACAAGATCCATGGTTTTAACCTGCCTCTATGAGAGGCCTCAAAAAGTAGTCCCGACACTTACCTTCGTCTACAATGTCAGTGGGAAAGTAAGATTTTATGGTTCTTAGTTCAAGTAACAGCCAATCAAAAAGCGGTAGCAATCACCGCTAAAAACGAAAAAAGTTTTTCTGTCCGGCTCCGTCAGATCCATGTCCTCAGAAAAGTCTAAAATCTGCCCTGTGCCCCGATTGACGCTTCTGACCTGTTGACGCTCCAATTTCAGACAGTGACTGGCTTTCTGTCTCATAACATGATGCTATAGCCGCAATATCACAAGCCTCAGGTCCGAGCCCGTTTAGATTTTTAACCGGCAATCTGCATTTCTCGCCTAATTACCTTAGTTAAGCGCAGGGAATGTTCCCTTCTTTACACCTCCTTGACCTCATTCGACGCCTTTGCCCCCAGCTCGACATCCCACTGCGTTTTCGGATTACCCCCGCGCACGTCCCGAATATCGTGACCGGGTACGTCAGGTCGTTGTAGCTTTTGTGCCCACAACTTGTTTGACGGCACGGCACGGGATGTGACGCCGACGGCCGACGGACGCACGACGCACGATCAATGCCAAAATTCTACAAGCTGGCATCTGAGCTAGCGGTCAGATGAGGCTAAAAAAATAAAAATTAATAAACTAACGTTAAAAAATATATAATAAAAATTAAAAAATAACATAATTAAACAGATCATTATCTTCCAAACTTTGGGGTGTCATCTAAAGCTAAAAACACGAGACAAAAGACAAAAATGTGCAGTATATATCATAAATACCACAGGTAACATAGGGTACGACCCCCATACATAATAACCACAAGCAAATTATTTTAAGAATATGGTTTTTTTAGTTATTTATCATTGCTACTAAACATATATTGCTATTGAACACTTTTTATTACCATAAATAGCTCATAAATGGAAGAAAAGATGCTGAAAGCATATTCACTCATTAATTAAGTAATGTTCCTCTTTAGAATTTACAATCCACTACCAATACAAATTAAGGTTTCAGAACAGGATATTTCTTGGGGAACATACACAACAGACCCTGCAACATTTCACCTAGCAGCCTTGGCCACGCTACCCCCCCCCCCCCCACACACACACACACACGCACACTTCCATCCCACCACAAGCTGGTCTGTGATTACTCACAACGGCTGTTCCCTGAGATCAGACAACTTCTGCAGGTACTTTGACTTGAACTTGTCCGCTCGCTCGCCAGCACTGCTTTGGTCGTTTTGACTTTGAGCGGCTCTCTCTGCAACCTGCATGCACGCGAGATTCGAGATGTAGAAACCTGCGCGGATCATAGACCATTTCACTTCTCACAACGCATGAGCCAACACTAGATCTATGCATCAGTCCTGGATTTCTACCCATGCGTCTTTTGTGAAGCAGTTGTTGCCTCACGAACCCCACTGGAACCTCTTTGTTACCTGTCACAAGCTATCATACTCTCCGAATGTCATGAGGGGAGCAACATCGCTCGCAATTAGAAGAAATTAAATTCGTTAACTGCATTTCGAGCTTAATTATTCACTGTATTAATCATTTGTTCCAATATCAGGGGCCGGTTTCACGAAGCGTAATTAAGTTCCTAATCACGATTAAATCACTAATCACGATTAAATCACTAATCATGATTAACTTCCCATACTTAAATTTAAGTGACTGTTTCACGAAGCGTAATTAACTCTTTAATCATGATTAAGTTAATCACAATATTTAATTCTACTCAGGAGCATAATTAAATCAACTAATCATAATTAGTTGATAGTACTATAGTAGTAGTATGTAGGTAGTACTAGTATATTAAGTACGCTGCAGATTTTACAATTGGAAATTTTACTTTGTATTATGTAACCGATGAGATAAGAGCTTTGTATTATGTAACCGATGAGATAAGAGCTTTGTATTATGTAACCGATGAGATATGAGCTTTGTATTATGTAACCGATGAGATATGAGCTTTGTATCATGTAACCGATGAGATATGAGCTTTGTATTATGTAACTGATAAGAGGTTCCTATGTAATTCAAGATTGAGTAATCATTTGTTCCAATATCTGGTCACTCTTTCAGACAAGTATAAAAGATACATGCATTCTTCGAGGTTTTTTTATAATTGCCTAACACACATCTAAACACAGACTACAACACGATATGTTCTCTAACGTCACCGACGAGATGCGAGCGATGTTCGTATTGTAATTCGAGCATCTTCACACGCACCTCGTTTACGGATCTCTCGAAGCAGCTGATCCAGTAGTCTCTGGCCTCAGCATCCTTCGCTAGGTCCCACGTGTCGGCCGAGTAGGTTTCCGTGGAGAGCAGCAGAGGGCAGGAAGCAAGCGGCTGCTCCAGGCAATCCAACTCGAGAAAATCCACCTGAAATAAGGTGGGAGCTCGATGACGACGAACAGGAAAACTGCACAGCTGCAATTAAACACGTAAAACACTTAACACGTTAACACTTAAATTGACTACGTCACGAATTTGCTATGGTAAAATTTGTAAAATTTTTGTTGCCATTTTTTTACATTAAAAGTAAGAACTAACGGGACTAAACGTATCGTCACATTCTCACCTGAAAAGATTGTTTCTCAACAAGTTAAAAATCCAAAAAACCTGGACGATTTGATATTATGTTCCTGACATTAATTGCTTGCTATGGGCTATGTATGAGTCACGAGTGTATGTTCACATCAAACAATATAGTAAAATAGGAAGTATAATGCAGCAATTTAACCATAAAAAGTGAACAGAATTACTTATATTTTGTGAAAAAGTGGATTTTTTTTTAAATGTTTAATATTTACGGTGACGTTATCACTTTTAGCACATTGCTGGACTTGTCCATCCATCTGTGATTACATAAATTCATCGTCCATATATCCATCCATGTATGCATCATGCGTACGTACATCCACATAACAACCAGGAGGAAAACACAAAACCCTTACGCTAACGATTGACCTACAACCCTGGCATGATTTACTGGCAGCTCTAGCCAATCATTAATGTAATAGGACATTCTATAAACAATGCTTAGCAACAACGCTTAGCAACAAAGTGTCACAAAGTATACATTATGGCGCGTATCCACAAAATACTGTTCTAAACTAGTCTAGCTAAGCCGACCTAGTAGTAACATCACAGCGAGGCGTAACCATCTTTGCTCCGGCAACTCGGTCAATAAAAAACGGTCAATAAAAAACGACATGTCTGACAACAGGGGGCACCACACATCGAGCGGCAACGACCGGTTACCTTGCTGCTGTTCTGCCGCATGAAGGAGACCATGACGGGATGCTGGAGACCGGAGCTTCCTGGAAGATGCTCGTCCCACGAATACTTGTGCGCATCGATGCTCTCCTGCGTGCCCTTCAGGAAGGCTCCGATAGCTCCCAGATATCCCTCGTGCCTGAGGAACAACGCCTGGATCTCTCCCTAGTAAGTAAGTCAGTAAAAACTTGATTTAACGACGGTAAAACATGTTAGGTACACACACAATAAATTGGCACGGACATATCTTCCACATGGCCGCCTCATGGCCTATCGCCCCTGAGGGATAGATACAGAGGGTGATACACTTGACTTATGGTGAGCAGGTGCTGGTGAGATAGAGGGACATGTTAACAGTTGATCCTGTATTTAAGGGTTACTCAAGGTCTCTCAAGGTCAAGTGTCCTTTATAGACAGGTGTGAGTTCTACAGAGGTGGTATTACTGTATAACTGCCACTCGATGGAGGCCAAAAGTTACCGTTATAGACAGTTGTCTGTGTTATTTAGGTGTTCCCAACACAGGTTTAACTGTAACCCGACTACAGTGAGTGTAAAAAGACTTTATTTACGAAAGGTGCTTCAGTTGTTTTAAACGTTTTCTCAAATGCCTCACATATAAAATTACTCTCACGTAAACTTCACAAATTACAATGCCATAGGCAAACAATTATATTTACTAACAATGTTTCTAGTAAAAGATCAGATGTGGAGTACCATCTTTGTAAGGTGTTGCACATAGAAAATGCACTACATTTTAGCAACAAATAAGCACAACATACAATCAGACGAGCGATACACGTGTAGTACCTTGCTCCAGTAGTTTATGGCAAACGTCAGCGTATACATCGTGATTGGTCGACAACGAATGAAGAACCCGCCAAAGTAGATTCGCTTTATGCCGTGCAGCTTAGCATTGAGGCAGGCAATCTGCCCGATGTCATTGCTGATGGATATCAACAGACTTCTAGCTATGTCTTCCTCCTTGTACTGAGTGCCACCTAGCGAGACAAAATCGTACTAGATCAATGAGCGCCATCTAGTGATACAAAATCCTACTAGATCAGTGATTGCCACCTAGTGAGACAAAATCGAACTAGATCAAACCCATTTCCTAACGCAGCAGACGACAGGGATGCGAATAACAGAAGAACGTATTACGACGGGAGGAAATAACAGAAACAGTAGGGAGGCCCACCAATAACTATCAACGAGTCATCGACTCACACACAAATGCTTTTAAGAGATAACGACGCTTCTCTAACGACTTCCGAGAGACAACCCCCTCTCCGCGAACGCAAAGACGGGCTCGCGTCAATACGGCTGCTTAACAAAACGCAGTGCAACTCCCGCCCACTCTCGTATGCACGCTCGAAAACCACAAATCATTCAGAAGATTGGGCGGGCGGACGGACGGTGGTGCCACCTACTTGCATCTCGCGGCGACCTCGCGGCGCGGCCGAAGCTGCTGGCGATGACGTCGCCGGGGAGACCGATGAGGTCGTAGCTTCCTCCGTAGATGTCTTTAACGAGCATGTCGACGGAGCGATGGTCGCCACGTTCTGCCAGCTCCAGTAACTCGTCAAAGCCCTGCGGAATTAATGAGAGAGAATCCCGCGCGGACACGTGCTATGTTATATTACATTATATTATATAGGTTATAAATATTGTTACATTATATTATGTTATATTATATTATATAACATTATATTATATATAATATCAAATATTATATTATATTATATTACATTATAATTATTATATATAATATCAAATATTATATTATATGATATGATTTTTCATTTTTAAAACTCGTGATTACCTTAATAAAGGTCTAAAAAAGTATGAATGGAAAAAAGGGTCTGTGAAGTCATTGTCGGAGGAGTCAGTAAGTTACTTTTTAATTAGTTCATTGATACGACTGTAGAAAATGGCTGCCGGTCGATACATAGATTGTACCGTGAGCCGTTGATTGGCATAGTTTTCCTGCCAATAAACTGACATCAATACTGCTTCTTCCAATCAGAATTGAAGAAGCAAAGACAGAAGGATTGCGCAGATATGACGTAGACGGGGTGCAACCCTACATGTGTGTGGTGGTGGGGGTTGACCTACCTTGGCCTTTGTGAGAAGAGAGCCGAGGCCCCAGAAGGATCCACCTCCCAGAGACGTCCCTCCTATCCGCTCATACGTCGTGTCAGATTCCACCTGGCAAAGACGAAAAGGCGTTGACAGTGGTTGACAGCGCGCGACCAGGGAACGCAAAAAGGTCGCGCGAGAATTCGCGATTCGTCGTTTCTAGACACGAGATCCCCCCCCCCCCGAGATCGCTGTTACACTTGTTGAATGTCAACGCGATAGATAATTTATGCGAAGATCTGCGAGATTCCTGCTCGAGCCCGAGATTCGTGAGGTACCTGCAGTTGCCGGGCAATTCAACAACATTTTGCGTGACAATTTTTAATTCGTGCTCCGCACCGAGATCTGATTCACACATGCAAAAAACGTTCTTCTTCCGGCATCTAAGGTTCACACGATGTGCATGTCAATTTGCGTTCAAACGATTCTCTTATTAACTCACTGCAATAAGTTATCTTCTCGTTACCTTTTCGTCTCTCGTACAAACAGATTTCTCACTTACTCATTCGTCGCACGCACAGACACCCTGTTAACCAGAGAAAAAAAGCAAGAAACGAATAACGCACTTTACCGCTCAGCCAACTAAACGCGAATTCGATGCCCACCTTTAGGATGCTCACTCCTGAGCCAATGTTCACCAGAAGATAGGGAAACGCCGGCTCATTGGGCAGACCCATGAACTCGTACTGTGGGTCGCCATGGCGATGATACATGAAAGACTCGTCAGGAATATTCTTAAGGAGGAAGTTGCATCCCTCTATCAGACACTGGATCTCATCCTCTTTAGAAACTCTGCCGTAGCGAAGGGAAACAAACACTGAATAGCATCATCGCAACACCGACAGCCCCTGCACGAATTTACTACACTCTGCATTCATGGATACTAACAGGAGTAGATAATAACAAATTGTTTATTGTTATTATTATTGTTATATTGTTGTTAACATTATTATTATTATATTAGTATTTATTATTATTGTTATTTGTTATTCTTTACTCCTGATACGAAGTCGTATTCCCGATAGAAACTTGCGGTTTGCACCAGTTAACGAACTGCCATCAACGTTGGAAGCACACACTGCTATTACGGGCAATTTACAAGTCACCGCCAACCGTGTGACACGGGCTGTCTCCAAGTTGCACGTTACAAACGTTGTACCAGTTTAGAGGTACCGAGGTGCAGAATTACGACAACAGCTAGAGATAGCCATGGTTTACGGCATTGCAAGCGCAACGAGAATGGCACTGAACATGCTACAAACATGGCAAGCCAACATGCTACAAACATGGCAAGCCAACTACGTACATCGTAACCCAGTATGCTACTACTGATTGACAACAGTGCGATGGGTTTTGCTCGGTGCTTACTCGAAGCCCAGCTTGTCGGTTATGAGGTCCTTGTACTTGTAGGCACCACCTCCAGTGACCTTGATCGTCTTCCCATTCATGTTTCTCGCTCCCCTAACGAAGTTCCTCTTGACAAAATCTGAAGTTGTCAACAGAAAGCGTAATGTACACAGCGAGAACAACAGTGACCTTACAGAACTGATCAACCGCTAGTCAGATCAGGAGTAAATAATAACAGTTTAGAGCTATCTTGGTTAATTTTTACTCGACCGTGTTGTTCAAAACGTACTGTTGAGGTTTCGCCTTCTATCAGGAGGCTTTCTCAAAGCTGACTGAAGTTGTCAGATTTGACCACCAGATGGTGTAGTGGTCAACAGCTTGGTCCACACATGACCGAGTCTGTATCCCTGACAACCTTGAGTCTGATTGGAGGCGAAACGTCAGCAGTACGTTTTGATCAACACAGTTAAATAAAAATCAACCAAGATAGCTCTATTATCTACCAACCAAATGAACTTATTTAAAGCCGTACTATGCGCATCCAAACGCTAATTTCTCCAGTACTAGACTAGCAAATACTTCGTGTCATGCATAATTACACTACCTTATGGCAAAATAAACTCAAGTTCCTCCCATTTCAGTGCGTGTTTGCTTAAAACCCACAAGAAATAGGTGCGAAATCTGGTAATCTAGCGCCAACGCTAAATTGTTTGCCAAACAATCGCAATTGAAAATTGTTCGCCAAGAATCGGTTAGGTAACGTCACATGTTTTTATCTTTGCTACACCCGTACCGCTGTACCGCAGCACCGCTCCACGGTTGCTTGGCAGAGCAACGCGAAAGTGTCAACAACATCGGAGAATTTCAACAACATTGGAGGTATTTTCAAATACCTTTTATAAGACAACGCGCAGTGAAATGGGAGGAACTAGAGTTTATTTTGTCATTTAAGGTAGTGTGATTATGCATGACACAAAGTATTTGCTAGTCTAGTACTGGATAAATTAGCGTTTGGATGCGCATAGTGCGGCTTTAATGAATAACAGTTTATTTCGTTATTATTTACCCCTGGTCAGATAATTGCATTCATTTAAGGATTTAAAATGCATTGAATCCACTTCTCAATAAAGCGTTGGTAACTATGTGTGTTAGCACGTGAATATTTTCAAGATTTTTATCCCTTTTATCATAATTTTACTAACCTTAGAATTTACTAGCTGCCCCATTTATTAATTGAAGCATACCTAGGCAGGTTTCAATGTACTTTGTTTCGAAATTAATGAAATGAAGTCTCCATGCTTGTTCCTCTGTTTCCACATTCTGCTGAAACAAACCACACAATTGACAACCACTGCAATATGGCATTTGGAAAAATCACAAAAACACTATAAAACAATATCAAGAGATAGCAACCATCTTCCATGCTTATAAAAAAAACACCACTGAATGCTATGCCGATAAACACATTTGGACCATAAAATTCTATGATTTATGGATAGATCTGATTTACTAAATCAATACATTTACCACAAGTGAATAAACAGCAAAAGACATGATGGACCATAACACTAGTAAAGCCAGCCAGATCATGTGATTACTCGTTGTAACTCTAATAATCTAACAAGAGCCGCAGAGCGTCTGCTCATCTGAGGTCGGTTTGCTTACGATTATAAACGTAAAATTTCAGTCGTGGCGTAGTCCTCACATTTTGTTAGGCGCAGATATGCAGACACGACAAGTTGCGTACACATCATTGTGTAGACATGCCCAACTATCTGCAGATTGAGGTAGGGGAGGTGGACAGGGGTGGGGAGGGTGGGAAGGGGGGATGTACGGGCGAGGTCCCGTGCCGGGGTAGGCAACGTCGGGGAGGGATTGGCATAGGGGTGGGGGAAGCGGGAAGAGGCGAAGGGACGGGAGGGGGAGGGTGGCGGGGTGTGAGGGGGCTCTAATAGGCAAAAGCAGTTCACGGTCGCTGTTGTGAACGAGTCAAAGCACAAATCCATTGTTTATATCAACCTCCTCTTGGAGGCAAAAGGTTATCGACCACTTTACATCTTCGCATGTCCAGCAGATAATTTCATTGGTCCTTTCAATGAGAAGCCATAAAAATCTCAGGTCATGGCCGCTGAAGCACAAAAAAGTTTCTTCAACTCGCTACGTCAGAACCATGTCCTCCGAGAAAATGTCTATAAATCTGCCCTGTGCGCATTGACCCTTTGATCACTGTGACTCATCCAACTTCGGGCACTAGTGATTGGCTTTCCTGACATGATGCTATATCCATCCCGGAAGTGACTACACACGGGCGGAGCCTAGGTCGATCCGCGTTAGGTATTTGTGCGCGGCAAGATCTGCTGCATTTCCCCGTATACACCTTTTAAGTTAAGGAGTGAATGCTCCCCCTTCTTTACACTCATCTTGACCTTTTGAGCCTTTTGACGCCCAGCTTCGACATCAGCCAACTCGTTTGAACGATCCCAGCCTCCCAAGCGGACGCCTGAGTATTCGTAAACCGTGACTCGAGCGCGTGTAAGATGTTCTGTGCCCAACTGTAGTGACAGGGCGGGGGACGGGGAGCGGTACGGAGGAACCAGGATCCGGGCGGACCAGGACCGACGGGAGAGACTGGGAACGAATCATTGGGGGGGGCGCCGATTCTATGCCGAACGACTACGGGGGTGGGGGGGGCAGGGGAGCGACGTATGTCAGCATGAGCTAAGAGAAATCATGGCGTTGTCCCCGCCCAAAAGTTTTTCAACAGATAAATCAACTTGTTTTGGCCTACCTCCGTATGAGCAGATACGAAAAAAAATGGGTTATGCTTCAGGAATCTTAACCATTTAAGGATGTGGATGCAAGTTACTGCAACAGCCTTTGAGTAGGGTGGTTTTCGGACAGTTACAGCACAGCACAGAGAATCCCACTCAAGTACCATTAGCTTCAACAGATCGTCTACACAAGTGTGCACTGATGCTCGACGTATTATTCTGCGGCTCTTTAGAATGTTGATGTTGGTGAATCACATTTAGGAGTCGATTGAAAAGCAAAAATAGACTCTGATGTGACAAACAAAGGTCAAGTGAAAACATTTGTTAGTGAAGAGCCAAAATTAACATTTAATCTGGCTAAAGAAACACCTGAAAGGTCCATGTAAACAGATTGTAATTGCGTCGTAATTCCGTTGAAAATGTTAATCAATAGATTTTCTGGTAGTACGACGCCAATAGACAACACAGGAATTTTCGAGAGGTTGTGGCAGAGTTACTTACATGAAAGTGCAGGGGGAAAATAATATTGACAATGAGTCATGTTTCTCAAAATTACGTTTAATCAATAATTTCCGGCCTACATAGAAGTTTACATACCTGCGATCCTACTACTGAATCTATGGATACGTGCGTATACTACCTGTGGTATGAGCGCGTGTGGGGGGGGGTGGGCCGGGGGACACGAGCATAAATTGAACATTGCATGCACAATCAGTATCATGGTCATGATCAGATGGCAGGTGGATCTTAAGCTGGCAAGCATGCAACATAAGCCGAGGGACAAATGCAAAAATCACACAGAAGCGTGATAACTCGTAGATTTTAATCCCAATCATAAAACCATTCTATTATCACAATGAATATTTAACTTATTCATTAATCGCAGTTAACTTTCTTAAACACCAAAAGAGACATAAAAATACTGTTCTACAGGAAACTTGGAATAGAAACTTAAAAAAGGCATGTGACTAAATGAAGAGGATATAACATTACAAGGTAACTAACGCCTTGAAATGGCAAGAAAACAAATTTTCGTGCACCGTGTCGTTTTAATTTCATACATGCATCTACCTCACATCCGCTGAAAATCCAGCCACATTTGAACTACTTACTAGAGTATCGTATTCTTTTCCGAGGGAATACTTTTGAGAAGTAAGCCCAACTTTTGGCTAGGATCCATCCTATAAAAAGCACAAATGTCTGATTAGAACTATAAGTCTATATAAGTTTTCATGACAAATTTAGAGATAGAAATGCAATCGATGTTCAACGAAACAGGAACTACCGCTCCGCTTTACAGAGCAACAGAAAAAAAGAGTAGCAATACACAGACCAACTGACCCTAGCCACCAAGACTGCAAAGAAGCGATGTATTATCACACTGTAATGCACAGGCCTTCCATTACACAGGGCGAGACGCGAGAGAACCTACAATGTGAGAAGGTATAGTTACATGCAACCAAACACTCACGAAAGGCTCAATCATAATAAGTGAAATAGAACAAGCTTAAAGTAAACATTGGGCGGATGGCAGCCGCGACCGCCATGACCGCGGACATGTACTTAAGCTTGTACAGCATCACGCCTGCAGTGGCTAAGCGAACGCGAGAATTCGACAGGTCTTTGTGTGATTTAACGCGTGAGCACAGCTCGGTTTTGAAGTGAAGACGATAATATCTCTACAAGGCAAGTGAAACACTGTACTTTAATTAGCACATAAGATTGAACTGTTTGATGTGTATGTTGTGTGAAATCGAAGAAATACAAGCGAGCGTCGAGCGAAATTCTTTGTGGATCCGCTGCTTGTTCTCATCGACACCTGCTATAGACCCCTTGCAGTCACATCCGTTTTTACGCTAAGTGCTCCGCGAGATCGCCGCCATGTTGGAGAGGCATGTATGATGATAAACAAGCGGAATATGGAGCATCTCTCACACACACACGCACACGCACTACCGGCACACTGCACCCCGCCCAGGCACACGCACGACGCACGACGCACACGCACAGCCAGCACAGTCGCACACTTTGTTGGTTGTTCGGCGCCACACACACTACACATCAGTCATTCACTACCACACATCAATGAACATCACTGCCGCTTGTGATTCCTTCCGGGCCGGGAGGTTAACTGCAAGGCCACGTGATGATGAACACCTGGTGTTACTGTTGGCAAGTGGAGTCCTCTAAGTCCCAGGAAGAATTGTAATGGTTGTGACAAATCAAAACTCGTAAACTCAGCTGGTTCACTACAGCGTGGTTGAACAGATACTGATCCGGCAACCTGAAAAGGCAAATTGTTGTCCAGATTGTAAAAAAACAAATGCTCTCATTAAATCCAAAGTTCCAAATCCTGCCCAGTAACTCGAATCATTGATGTATCAATAAAAAATTTGATATGCTTATTTAGATTAAAAATGAATTGTATTTGGCACTCCGTATTCGGAGATGGTATTGTATTCACGATCTTGTTCTATACAGTGGTGATTTCTAGAATCTATAAAGAAAGTTCGTGGAACTAGTTTTCATGACGTGATACTAATAGTAGGCATAGGACAATAGTGGTGTTCAAGACTTGTTATTGTAGTTACTTATGGCTGGAATAACGTAATTAATCATGGTTGCGTCGGTATTGGAGGAGGAAGAGGAGGAGAGACAAGAGAGGGAGAGGAAAAGAAGACAGATAAGAGAGAAGAGAGAAGAGGAGAGGAAGGAGGTGAGAGGGAGGCAGATAGAGGACAGAGAGAGAGAGGAGAGGAGGAAGAGACAGAGACCGAGAGAGGAGGAGGAGAGGAGGAGGGGAGAAGAGGAGAGGAGAGAGAGTGGTGGAAGAGAGAGAAGAAGAGGGAGGAGAGACATGGAGAGGAGGAGAGGAAGAGACAATGAAGAGGGAGGCAGAGAGAATGAGAAAAGAGGGGACGAAAATAGGGAGAAGAGAGAGGGAGAGGAGGGGGGGGAGGAGAGAACAGAGAGAGAAGACGAGAGAGAAAGGGAAGAGAGACCAGAGACAGAGAGGGAGGAGCGACCAGGAAGAAAGAGGAGAAGACAGAGACAAAGGAGGAGCGACAGGAGAGAAGAAGGGAGGAGAGACAGGAGAGGGAGAGAGGACAGCGAGAGGTGTGAGGAGAGAAGAGAAGGGAGAAGAGAGAGGGAGCGATGGGAAAAGAGACTAGAGAGCAAGAGCGAGGAGGAGAGAGAGGCAAGAGGAGAGGAGAGAGAACGAGCGGAACGGATGCGGGAGGACAGGGACAGAGACGAGAGGAGAGAGGAGAGAGAGAGAACATGAGAAGAGAATGGGAGGAAGATTGAAGCAGGGGACTCAGAGAGAAAGGAGACAGAGAGACAGGAGAGAAGAGGGAGGTGAGGAGAGAGACAGAGTAGAGGAGGGGGAAAGAGGAGAGGACCACAGAGAGAGAGAGAGAGGAGGAGAAGACATAGAGAAGAGAGAGGAGAGAGAGGCAGAAGAGAGAGGGGAGGAGGCGAGACAGAGCACCGGAACGGAAGGAAACGGCGGAGCGTGGAGGGGAGAGGGGAGGGGGGGGAGGGGAGGGGGAGGTGGAGAAGAGAGAGAGATGAAGGAAGAGAGGAAGCATGACAAGAGGAAGATGAGAGGGGGAGAGGAGAGGAAAGATGAAAGAGAAGACAGAGACAGAGAGGCAAGTTAGGGGAGAGAAGAGAGGAGAGATGATAGCAGGAGACGAGAGCAGAGAGGGAGAG